ATGTGCAATAAACGAAAATAAACTGACATCAAATCCAAAATATATTTTGACCCCTATTCAGAATGATTTTGCCCATATTGGAATATATTATATTATTATATTGGTTTATATTTCCAAGAGATGTTAGCTCAGATATCTATATAAAGTTTTAATTTTAGCAATTTCTTCTCGTGATGTTACAACATTTTCCATTTACGGTAATTTTTTTACAGGGCATCAGGCGAAGGTAACGATGGCAGTACGTGTGCATCTATTAATTACAATGACGGGAAATGGGCAGATATTACATGTAACGCAATCAGACGTTATATCTGTCAGTCAGGTAAGCCTTCTGCAAAGACCTATTTATTTGATGAATCTGTTTTAACGTGAGTGAAATCTGCAAAATTGGAATAATAGGTAGTATATGATATACCCATTGCTAACTTATCTGTAATGAAGGTGTTATTTCTTTAAAATTAAAATAATAATAGTCTAAATCAGCGGTTCCCAATCTTTTTGTTTGTGACGCGCCAAATTATTAGGTAAATCTCACGTAGGGAGAACTTAGTTCGTCAACGGTTTAAACAAGCCAATGAAGTTTGTTTTGCTCTTGCTTATTTGATTGTTTTCATTGCAGAATACATTTGATAATTAATTAATTTTAATAATATTAATAGATAATTAATAATAATTAATTAAACCTAAATGTAATTTTGTGGAGTTTCATCCCTACAATCACACCTGAGGTTCTTTTTATGATTATAAGGCAAAGATGTACCTGCTGAGATTGATTATATTATATTGCCTATTCGATTAACACACCCCGAGTGAGGTGTTAGGCTTGTGATTTGAACCGGAGATTGTGAACTGGCGATTTAAACATAAGTTAGTTACAAACGCTCCAAACACAAGGTATTCACTGCCACTGCAATGTCATCGGTGCATCGCGAGATCTGTGCCACGTCGCATCATGTTAGGAAGCAAATAATGTTGGGCGATTTTGTCCTCGCTAAATTTTTTTACCAGAGTTCTGAAGTTAACGCAAATACGCAGAAATTATTGTAAGAGTAATGTCCCACATGCTATATTGCTGTGGTTCCCAAGCTTTTTTTTATATCGCGGAACACCCATCACAAAACATGAACATTTCTACTCATAAAGCCAGTTTTCTATAAAATAATAATAAGCAAAGAAGATCAGATAAAGAGGATTTTATCCATGTAAATACAACATACCCTGTATTCAGTAACAGGTAAAGATTAATAACAGTGAATGTCAGTAGGACTGTTATGCCTGGTGCTTCTCTACTACTGCTGCAATTTGTGGATTTCTGCATAATGCGGGCGAAGAGTTAGTTTTCAACAATCAGATATTTTATTTCAAAGTTAATCTAATGGAAATTGTAACAACATCACACAAGTCTAATAACTTGAATGTCTTTTAATATTGTTTCAGAACTTCTCACTATCACACCAACAAACAAAGTAATGGTAGTAGTACATGGTAATAGAGCATCTATCAACGTCGAAACACGAACCTTTGATGGAGCGGTACGAATGAAAGTTTTCAAGCACCCGGATAAAACCATTTATGTTCGAAGTATTAGCGCAATCCCCAATTCTTACATCTATACTACGTTCCCAATCAACGACTTCCGAAGTGTTATTTATGAATTTGTGGTAACGCCAGCTGCCCCATCGAGAACTTACACAAGATCGGCAACAGTTCGAATAAATGTACACTGTAAGTCAATTTTTATTATGCAAAAATCAGATATGCAATAATAATGTGATCAAGATTTTTAGTTTATATAAATATAATGTTGACATGATATTATAGCGAGGTATTCTGCAAATTTTCTCTGTAAAAACATGCAAATGCTGATTCGTCAAGAAATATTATGATTTTTGAATTGGCGGCCTTTTTTTAATTCCTTTATTTTGTTCAATATCCATCGTGCGCTTTATAGATTGCGCCGGCACGGTGCTAATAAAAATGATGTCATAATATTTACGTGAGGTGTTTCGCAAATTCGCTGCTCACAAACAATTGCTTACAGGTCATCGAGGTTTTGGGCTTATATAATCATGTTCAATTATAAAATTTAATATTCCTAGAGCGACCGGCATATATCGTACCTTCTGTATTTGTATTTATAACCAGGGTTTTTAGGTTCGAATCTTTCTCTATTATTGAATATTACTTAATTTTCAAACAAGTGTTTTTACATGCTTAATTATATTGAGTCAATGTAAACTTTATAATTCGTAATTCCTATGATCTGCGTTTAGCCAACGCTTCGGATGCCTATGCAAAATTTTAACATTCTAACGAATTATTTGCTTATGAAATCTGATAATCAAATTAACAGAAGATATGGGGGTTTCATATTGCTAGTTATGCGGTAATGCGTTATGCTACTTAATAATAAATACTATACTGCCTTTTATTACTGTTATTATAATGGTTACTGTATACTGCTATATTCGATATCAGTGCTAGCGTAATTCGCATGTTCTCTCTATGATTCACTACTTTTAAAATGCCACTGTCTTGGACAATATTCTCTTTACAACCTCTTTACAATTCACGTAAGAATGCGAAAAGCATGCACAATATAATATAAAGTAAATATTATTTCACATTTGGTAAAACTTGCAGATGAAAATATCAAACAAATATTATGTTGATCGGAAACGGTTTGATGGCGCAACCTTGAAACGACATTATCAGTATCGCGTCACAGACACACGCATCCGGGACTTTTTTCCGTGTATTACCAGTTGGGAATCTGTAAATCACAGAAACAATACGCTTGGAAATAATTGCATCAATAAGGCAAGAAACATTTTAGCTGATTGCCAACCATTGTTTTTCAGATCCTGTAAACATTACCAACATATTCCCAACTGCAATCTCATCCCCTGTAACCTCTGGTCTGAATCACGTGACCTGTGAGGCATCCGGTGCGCCTTCTGCACACGTGGTTTGGATTAAAGACAGAACGTCGGTTATCATAAGCGCAGATAGCTCTGTATATCAAGTGAAAACCACTGGAAAATCTTTCCTCTATATAATGAATGCTGCATTGTCTGATAGTGGAACATACATATGTCGTGCCACCAACGATATAGGGGAACGGCAGGCTCAGCAGGAAACCAAAGATGAACGAGAGATAGAATTATCAGGTGAAAAATAGGTTAAACCTAAAGCGGATGTTAGGTTCTGAATCTGTTTGATGTTTGGCAAACAGGTCTGTAAATCCCTGTAAGAATATCAACAGCGCAACAGACGCAAAATAAGATATGTATATATATGAAATTGCAAACTTACTAAAGAATTCACACTAAACAACATAGTTTAATAATTTCAAATATTTGTGGATAAATATACGAAGTCTGCTTGGTTAAGAAAAATTAATTAGGAATGTAAGTAAACGTGTAATGGACGTAGCAGTGTGGTAATATGAAGCAACAGACACCGATAAAGAGTATATTCTATAATTTCACAGTGTACGGATCACCTGTCATAACTGATAGCAAAGTAGTAGAATGCAGTGTTGGAGAAAAGGTCGCAATTGAATGGAAACCTAACTATCAAACAATCGGCGTCGTTCACAGGTAAAAAAAAGAATGTAGAAATATGTATTTACATACTGGATTCCTATTTAGCATTGTACCGAATAAGTTGACATTTATGTAGTTCCATTCTAGAAAGTTTCAAGATTTGCATGTTGAATTCTGTATAAGTTCACTTCCCGCACTCTGAATTTAGTCAGATGAATTTAGTCAAATTTGTGCAAAAGTGCGAAGTAAAATTATATGGTCTGCATATGCTTATCCTTTGAAAAGCAATATCTAATTAGTACTTTTTTTTTTAAGAATTTCGGCAACTCGCGAAGGTGACACTGTCGCCATTTACACACAAAACATAACAGCACAAACGCATGAAATAACAACAATTGAAGAGCTTGTTCCTTATACTAACTATAACATCAAGGTAAAATTAGTGATGCAAACTAATTAAACGTTGCTAACATAAAAACTAAAAATACTAGAATATTTATATAACTGTATTTGATCCTAATATAATTGCTCGTGAAATGCTCTCAAAATGGTGGAGTCGCATACAGCTCAAGATTTAATTTTGGATGCAAATTATTTTTCAACTTTTCATATAAAACGTTTGAATTATCAGCCAATGTGATATTTAGAAATAATTCCAGATTCCAGGACAACGTGTAATCAATAAAAATTTAATATAAATATCGAACAATGTTGTTTTCTTTATACCCATACCGTTTCAGCTAACCGTTTGTCCGGATAAATGCATAAACAAACTTCATACACAAACGGTAATCAAAACCAGTCTTGGTTTACCAGATCCTGTCACTGACGCTCGAGTTACAAAAGTATCAGAAAGTCAATGTGCCGTGACCTGGGACTGGTCGGAGTCAAAGTTGAAAACGAATGAAACATTTGAGGTAATAAAAAGAATAATTGAGGAAATGAGACGATAGTTGCAATTCCCTATTTAAGCAATTACAAACCAAAATATAGTGTATATTGTAATGCAAATTATAAGTGTACTTTTCCAATAAAGGCCACCCAATTGTTCTTGAAAGTATATTTTTATCTATACATCGCAATTACCCAACAATGAGTGGCAATGTTGTAGGATGATGTTATTCATATGAACACTCATCGCGTAAATCGTTTGGGTATCTTGTACTTTTATCGTGAATAATGCTCTTAACGCAAAGGAAATATAAAAACTATAATGCGACAAGTCTAACAATATAATACATTTTTCTAGATAATCGAGAACGCAACACTTGTTTTTCTGTCTTCGAACATACAACAACATACATTCACCAAGAAATATTTATACGAAGGCAAATCATTAGATTCATTTCGTGTTCAAATTGAAACAAAGCCGAATCGCAATTACACTTTCTATGTTAATGCAAAGAATTGCGCTGGAGAAAGCAATAGAATAGCAGCAATTTGAGAGTGCCTTACAAACGTGGCAGGTAAAACTTCTAATTAAATTTTGTCCGACCAGAAAAAATTGAAGATAGAATTTACAATAGGTCGTTGATTATTCATTCTCTGTGTGTAACGTCACACATGTCCTCAATCAATCATTTTTGTGTGCAGCACCAGAACACGTTCCTGTACCGACAACAGTTCAGACAGAAGAAAACTCAGCGACCCAGTTGATAGATATCACCTTTCCTGATGAAACGAGAGGACCAATAGGGCATGAAATTTCATATTTCGTCAATGTTATGTTTTAAGTAGAGTGTAATAGCAAGGCTTACAGAAATATAATGATTCACGAGTTCATGTTCAATCCTAGATAATTAGTTTTTCTCTCAATATTTCAGGCATGTTGATGCGTTTTGAATCAATTCAAAAATTCTATTTGAATCTTTGTATAGATTCTATACGAATCTATACAGAATGTTTTTTTATAATTAAACATTATATTTTTAAGGTTAATGAGAATTCAGTGTAAACAGTTGATCTGTACTATATTCGTGGTTTTTAAGTTGATTCCCAATTTCAGGAGAATTTCACCTAATTAGAAATTTTTGTTCCATGTCGTATCCAATTTATATTTCTTATCATGAAACGTTTATCTTCCCATTTTTTTTAAATGTATTTAATTAGATTATATATTTTGCAGCTGCTTGCTTGTAATAGTAAAATCTGGTGAAAGTGATTTAGAAGATGAAATCACGATGGAAAAGTTGACTCGATTATCACGAAATGCATTGATTGGAAAATCAGAAGAAAACGAATTTCTCGCAATTGCAATGCAAAGGTATGGGCGTAAAATGTAATTTTTCAATCATAGGTACGGATTGACATTTGGAACCTAAGTCAATCTCCAACCCTTAAAGCACTAGATCACCAAACACAAAACTTGGCTTTCAAATTTGTTCAAACTTTCTCAATACTCCAACTTTTAATATAGGAGAAGCAAAGTTTAATTCATTTTTCCTAAATGCATGTGTTCCCAGGAGTGTTGTTTCTGTTTAGTTCATTGGCGAAATCTTGTTGAATGCCATCAAAATTAATTATTTTTAAAAACCAGTTCAACTTGTTCCTGCATCATTTTCATATTTTGTCTAGTTTTATGGTTGCATCAACTTTGAACTATCCTTTTTCTTTTTGACTAAATTCCAAACCGTTCTGCCGCATTATCGCAAAATAGTCACATCAGGTGAAAAGTATTAGTCTATTTATCAGCAAATGATTTGGACAAGTCCTATTCAAAATCCAAGTAATCCTCTTCCCTCAAGAATCGTCATGTTTGTTACGTAAGCGTAACAAATCCCAACTGTAGTCAAATGATATACAATTCAATATTAAAGGTCAAAAATTAAAGATCCAAAGGTGCAAGTATCTCTAGGAGACGACAAAGCAAGTTTCTGTCATCTTTTAACGGGTACGACTAGAGCCAAACGTGCAGTAACGGAATACATATCTGGAAGGAACTTGCCGCTCAAAATAGGTTCAACATACACGTAAGAGTTGCTTAACCATGGCGTTTTTATTTGTTAGAAGGTATTCTATGTTAAGGTATTTTCCGTAATTTATGGGTCATGCTGCAGGCTAACACAGATATATTTCTGCAATGTTTTCTCTGACTAATGCAGGTTGAATCATATGTGCCTGAAGAAGTCTGACTTTGGTCAAACAATAAGTTACAAAAATATATTTGTGTTAGCGTGCAGCAAGGCTTGAAATATTTAGAATAGTTATCGTCATTCCTGCTACGGCATCGTATACAGATCAAAAGCATAGAAGAAGAATGAGTAGATAGTCCGACAGAAAGCCAATCGATAGAATACACTCGTTTAGTTTTTGTTTTATATTTCCCAATTCATCAACAGTTCTTCTTATTGTCTTTTAATGCCAGCTCGAATTTTTTTGAAATTTGTTAACCAGAATATATGGTCCCCAATAGTATGCTAATATTGTCACAGCTACTACGCAGTTACTTCAACTTACTCAGTGACTTCGGGTGAAGTTTTGCTTCAACGCAGTTCTTCTGCGGCATTCAACCTAAAGAAAACGGAAGGTATTTAATGTTTCTGTACTTGTAGTTTGATCCAACTTAAAAATTAAGTCGTTTACTTTTGTGGAACGATCAAAAATAAACTTTGAAGAAAAAAGGTTTGTTACATAGTAATCTCAAATAATATTAATTCAATGTTATCCTTCAATAACTACAAATAAACCGTACTTAACAATTGAGCCCAATATCATGTTCCGAATACTGATTCAAAATATAGTGACATGAGTTATATTCTTGTAAAAACAAGCAACTTTTACTCACACAGGGTCGAACATTGTCTGGATAGCTGCAGTTGTCGTTGGCGCACTCGTGATTGCAGTCGTTGTTGTACTGATTAGTACTTTTAGTCAGTCTGTTCTTTTAGTCAGGAAAAAGTAAGAATGTCTTATTCATTAAATTATGTCTCAGAGGGCATAAATATTCATAAATTATTTATCTCGCATGAATTTTTCTGTTCCTAGATTAAGAATTATAAGCAAATGCACTATATCATGGCACCGACGGAAAATGAAAAAAAATAGTAATTCTCAAAACATTCTGACTGCCTAACTTGATAGTTGATAAAAATTGTGACACCCTCAGGATGTAATACTATAAAATTCTCAGTTATTGTTTCGAGTTATTTTCAATAAATTTACCATGTTATTCAAATTTTTTTCAAGACGAAATGTTCAAAAAGAAGAAAATGACGATCATACTTATGAGCAACCTTCAATTAATCCTATCGGAATTTAATCGCCGCCAGTAAAAAGCCAAGGTTAGATACAATACAAACTCATTTTTCTTATTTTCTCTATGCTTTTGGACTTTGTAATTTCTCTTACTACTCAATAGTAACTTCAGGAGGTCTTTGAAAAGTATCTGACTTTAGAAACCTTTAAGATACTAGAATCTAAATGTGCTAATACATAATTGATTTCAAAGTAATCAACACTTTTTCTCAGATTCTGCAGGTTATCTCAACGTGCATTACAATTATGAAAACGTAGATTCAATTCCCACCAACAATGCTCATGAAGAAATAACAGTTTAATGAAAAAATGACAATGTCTTGCTAGAAAACTGATTTAACTATATACTACTTATACCTGTAAAATTTATACCTATTTGCTAAGTTGATAAAAAGCTGTGCATTTTTATTGAAAATAATCTACTTTGTGTTCAGTGATATTTAATAATATTAGTTTTGTACCCACGTGGTTTGTTTCTAGCAATTATGCATTTAAAGAAATATCAGTTTCACGAAATGAAATAAAATATTGTGCTAGAAAATGTTTCAACTATATACTATATAACACTTTTATATATTTTCCTAATCAATTAAAAATTGATTCAAACTTGTTTTTCATCAGAAACAATCAATTATTTTCAGTTATATTAAATATTAGTCGTTTTTGCTCAATTGTTTATGTTTCTAGTATCTATGCATGAGAAAAATTATCAATTTGGTGAAACAGATGACATCATTGTAGCAAATCTTTACCGAAAAGGAATATTTATCTTCAAAAATTATTCCTATTTGCTTAATCAATTAAAATTAATAAAATCCCGTGTTTTTCATGAGAATTGATCAATTTTTTTCAGGTATATTAAATAATAATGTTTTAAATATAAATATAATGTCTTTATTAACTATGCATAAAAATATATATCAGTATAGTATCGTGCTAGAAATTATTTAACCTTCATATATTTCTATAAAATTTTCCTGTTTTCTTAATCAATTATAGGTTGATAGAATCCTGTGTTTTTCATCATAAATAAACAATTTTTTCAGTTATTATTAAATAATAGTCTTTTCGATTCTAATTGTTTATGTTTCTAGTAACTATGCATAAGAATAAATATCATTCTGATGAAATATAGGAGTATCGAGCTAGAAAATATTATTCTTGTATACCTTAGAGTTTGTACTATTTACCTAATCGATTACAAATATCAAACCTATAAAATTTTTACCTATTTGCTCAATCTACTAAAATTTGATCGATATAAATTAATAATAAATATTGGAAATAATCAATTTTCTCCGGCAAAAAAATAAATAAAATTTGTATTGATTTTAAATGTTTGTGTTCCTAACAACTATGCATATGAAGAAGTATCAGTATAATGAAATAGAATAACAACATGCTGAAAATATTTTACATATATACCTATAAAAGTTTACAAGAACAACACAGATTGATCAAAACCTATGATTTTTATTGAAAATATTCAATTTTCTAAAGTGATATTAAATACAATTCGTTTTAATTTTACTGTCCACGTTCCTAGCAATTTGTGCACATAAAAAAGTATTAGTTTAATGAAATAGGATATGATCGCAATATAAAATATTACACCTATATACCGTATACGCCCATGGAAATTTTATCCATTGCTTAATCAATTACAAAATAATCAAAGTCTGTAATTTTAAATGAATTTAGTTGACCTTTTTTTATGGAAATAAGTAGTGCTCCTAGCAACTAGGTATAAGAACATTTATCATTTCCGTTAAATAGAATAGAAAATGTTTTATCTACATACAATATATACCTTCAAAAATTATACCTATTAGCATAATCAATTACAAAAATGATGGGACCCTGTATTTATTATTAATCATTATTAATCAATTAATCATTCATGAGTGATAATAAATAATATTTGTTTCCATGTTCCCAGTTCATGTTCTCTGTAACTATGCATATGAGGAAATACCTGTGGGATGAAATAGAATAATATCGTGCAATTTTTTTTACGTATAAATACCTAAACAATTTTTGTCTAATCAATTACAAATTGATTAAAACCTGTGTTTTTTATTGATAATAATCTTGCTAGCTATGTTTTATGTAGTCTTTTATTGCAATAAAAACAGTAATATAAAAATCTCATAGTCGCTATGATTCCGCTATGTGGAGCTCATTTTTATAGGGGGACAGAGTAATTTCTAACAACATAACATAACATAAATTTATTCAACGAGGCTCTTTGTTCTTAAACTTCGAAGCCAACCAGAGGCAGAATATTGGACCTTTTTCACTTCAGTTCTGTCCACAGCCCGGGCGTTAGTGAATGACAATTATTAAATTTCATCGATAACGGATTTGACCGCACAAAATTAGATAAACCCCCAGAGGATTCTCTGTTGGGAAAAAAATCCATTTCCTAGTAACCATTGGTTGGAATGTCTTCATTTGGATTTGATTGACCAACAAATTATACGGGATAAATTATTTTTAAATGATAGAATTATAAAAGCAGCAATGGTGTTAATGAAAATAAAATATCTTCATTTATCAGGACTGAAGGATGTAATAATATCGACAGTGGAAGGATTCCCGATAAAATCCTGTAATACCTTTGTTTAAATAATAAACATCAGAAAAAATCACTGGATAAGATAACTATTTCGGGTCAGTTTCCTGAATAAAATCATGCATCAGTGTATGACAGTCTTTTATCGAGTAATTATCCTGAAATCGTGCAAACAGCAGTTTGTCATCTCAGTGGGACCAATAGTGACAGCATCACAATTGAAGTGATGGCTGTTCAACAGCAGCGAGGAAATGAATGTGGGTATTTCGCTATAGCCAACGTCCTAGCGATTTGTAAAAATATAGATCCCTGTTTACTGACGTATAGCAATAAATTTAATGAAGGGCTCGAAATGGCATTTATTCAAAATGATATTGACGTTTTTTGGAGTCACATTAAACCTGAAATACATTCTACCCAAGTACCCAAAACATGCCTTCGGTGGACTTGCAGAGTATTTTGCCATTACAGGATGTCTTGTGATGGATCTGAAACATTGCAGTGGACAGTGTGTGAGAAAATGTTTCATAAAAAATGTGAAACTGACGAATTCCGGAACCAGACCTGGAAATGTCGGAATTGTCGTACTTATTCAGTTGAAGATTCAAAAAAAAAAATGGAGAAATTGAAAACTTGGCAAGATGCCATATTACCCCACCATGAAGACCGATGGTAGTGTCAATCTACAATAGCATCCGTGACCCATTTTCATATACAACCTTGCCCACTGGTGACAATAAAATTGGATGTGTTTCCAATGAAACATATTGCAAATTAAGCGGCAACACATCCAACATTTTGACGGGCGTTACGTATAAAGTCGACCTGGACAAATTCATAATTTTAATTTTGAAGCCGGATAAGCTAGATATTTCAGTAATCTTTCACACGATTATGCATGAAATTGCCCATGTCATGGTGCCGGTAAAAATAGCCAGCCAAGCACATGCAAAAGAATTCAAAAAATGTGGGAAGATTCATTCTAAGGCATATTAAATTGAATCCAAAAATGTTATTCGAGCAGTGGCAGTGTTTTCCAATTTTTGACAAGTCAGTTCTTAATAAGTCAGTATGATGGGATATTTAAATATTTTCACATGTAATGAAAATACCTTTCTCGAAATCTAGTTGCAAGTACAAGCTGACAATTAAATTGTGTAATTATACAATCTTGTCGTCATTTATTTCGTAGAATATAATGTTGTGCCATTTTAATGCTCTAAAATATTATCTTATTTCTTTACAACAGTAGTTTTCGAATGGTGCGACACGGCGCACTGACGAGTCATTTTAATATTTAATATAACAAATATTTACCAAATATTTAATTGGCAAGTCATGCTCTACTGACTGTAGGTATGCATATTTGAATAAACTATTACATAACTGTAGTCAATAATTACTGATAAAATCAAACCACAATGTTACTTTCTGAGTTCAGTATAAGATTAGTTCAATTTAGTGAATCCGAGAATTTTGTGAATTTTCTTGAATAACGAATATTCAGCTTGTGCTAAAAACAATACAAACAGTTCATCCAAGGGCTATATCATAAGTTCATAACATTGCTAAGTCCTCACGTCTCATAAAGCTAACCAAACTTGATTCTCAGTGTTTTTATCATTTTGTTTTCAAATATTTTCTCACTAGTGCGTCGCATGAGCGGAGGGTTTTACAAAGGCGTCTTATCACAAAGATTTAAGAACCACTGCTTTACGACATCTAAATTACTATGTTTTTTATTTGCCAAGATTGTTGTATATATAATCTATTTCAGCATTACTACCGTTTCATTCTCATGTCAATGGCATTTCCATATTTTTCTGGTCTTTGCCTATAATAAATGACATTTTCAGTTGAATCGTTTTTTTTATTTAACAAACTGATAGCTTGGATTCAATTTTTTAATTTAATTTCTTTCTTAACCACATGCACCGGCAACTTCATGTCTTATTATGCACAGGCAAATTGTAAAAGCTTACCGCTGAGTGATGTTCATATCATGGAATGATGTTCATATCAATATTATATCCACTTTACGCTAGTTGCAAGTCATTTTTTATATTTCAATC